TTGAGAGGGGGGTGTCTGTGAACGGGCATTTCTAGTGAGCTCAGAGAGGACCTTGATGTGAGTCCAGCACCTGCCCCTGGCCACCCAGGAGTCCGCAGCACACTGCACCTGAGGGAAGGCAGGCAGTGTGTTTAAGTAATGGAATTTAATGTAATCGTGACACGGACATAGACAGGGTGGTGGTGCGGTGGGTGACCCAGCACAGATGGGGATGGCCCGTGCCCCCCGCCCTATGGGGCCGGCGGTGCCCCGGGGGACAAACACTGATGTGGCTGGGTGATGGCCTTGCACGGCACGGCTCACCCTGGGAAGGCACCTCCGCTGAAGCCGGGGGTCTAGGCCGGGAGCCCCCGAGGAGCAGTCAGAAGCTGCAGCCACAGACCCGAGTGCCAGGTTCCGGCCGGACGTGGGAGGGCCACCCGGTGCTGGCGCTGCTGAGGAGGGGGGGGCGAGCCCGCCCGCGCTAAGTGCTGCCCAAGAGCGCTTCAGGACAAGGGGCGGGGGGTGCACACAGTGAGGTTCACGTAAACAACGATGGACGAACAAGACAAACTCTGGGGACACTTATAAACCTACGACGTTCAGCAGAACGGCAATAAAACAGCGGCCCTGCCGGCCCGGACACATGCCGCGTGCGGCCAGCAGTCCGGCGGGCATTTCCCAATCTTTCTGGCGCCTGGGAGCTAAACAGCACAGAAGGCTGCATTTGATCTCTGGAGGGAAAGATTTCATTTCCTTCCCCTCAAACTGACTCAGGGGGCAGAGAGACAAGACTTCTCGAAGATGAGCCTCTTCTGGGAGAAGGGACCTCAGGGACGAGAGTGGCAACGGCAGAGCAGGTGTGCCTGGAGGAGGTGGGGCCCGGGAGGAGCCGGGAGGAGCCGGGAGGGTGGCCGGCAGCCAGGGGGGCGCCCCTCCTCCATCCCGCAGGCTCGGCAGGTGCTTCCTCCAGGTGCTTCCACCTGGAGCGCCAGCGCTGGCCGTGGGGCCCGTCACTGGGTCCGGAGCTGGTAATCTAGAAGCAGGGAAGGAGGCGTTGGTTTTCTGCTCCGCACCTGGGGGCGGGGCCGCCCCCCCTCCCCCACCACAACCCTGGGGCTGCTCTGTGTGCACCACCTGGGGCACAGGGGGGCGGCCACCAGGAAGCCTGTCTGCACCGCCCGTGGCGGGCTGCACGCACCTCCGTTCTGAGTGATGTACCGGACCCACGGCAGAGCCTGGTAGCCGCTCTTCTCAATGATCTTCAGGTAGCGCACCTAGGGCATGGGCAGCAGGGCCTGAGTACGTGCGTGCTGCCCCTCGCCCCCACCCTGTCACTCCCTCGGGGCCAGGGAGGGGAGGGGAGGCTGTGAGGAGGAGCAGGCAAGCACAGGCAGAGGTGTGGGGGGGGGGGAAGGGGCATCTGTCTGGAGCGTGTGGACACCGCGGGAGGGAGCGGTCACTGCCAGAAGGTGCGGGAAAGAGCCAGGCTGTGCCCTCTCAGACACGGCCCTCCAGCAGACTCCTGGAGAGGAGGCCCAGAGTTCACCTCCCCTCGCGGATTTGGAAAACAGGCCCTGTGGTGGCAGGTGCGCGAACACCGGAGGCTCAAACTCCAGTTCTGGGGGCGGAACGACTCTCTAATCTCAGGGCTGAAGTGCAGGGTGAGGTCTGTGTGGACAGGGGTGGGACCAGGCTGCCCGAGGAGGGCGGCAGAGCCGGGGCAGCACGTCGGCGCCCTGGGAAGGCAGACCAGCACCGTCGTCCACGCTGGCTGCAGCAACCCGAGCTGGGATGGAGGCCTGGGCCCGTCCACGTGCGCTCTGGGGCCCTGCGGCCCTGGCCGCGTGTACCTGGATGCCAGAGGTAGTGAAGTAAGGGATCTCAAACTTGACGCTGATCGGGGGCTTGCCCTCCTTGTCCTCCGCCTCCACGCTCGGAAGGCCAAAGTGGGCCCGCATCAGGTACTCCTTGCCACCCTGGGGGAGCGGACGAGGGAGAGACAGTCAGGCCAAGGCCCCGGCCCAGCTCAGCCAACAGCTGCTCCTGCAGGGCACCAAGTTGCTGGCCCGGCCACGGAGCCCCTTCCTGCGTGGCCGCGGTCTCCCAGAGTCTCGGCTCCTCAGACACACTTACACTTAGCCCAGGCCTCTCGGACCGTCCTGCCAGCTGAGCCGGCCCGATCGCAGGCATGCTGCAGAAAATCGCCAAACTGTTAGGATCAAGAGAGTGGCACAGACTCTCAGGGAATGAAGACTAGTTGCTTCAAGGATGCCTAGACTGACAGGCCTCAGGCAGGGAAAGGAGGCACGAGGTGTGGACCACCTGCTGAGGCCAGAGCCCGAGAGAACAGCCCCACCTGCCCCATGTCTGGGTGGCACGTGGAAGCAGAGGGGGAAGGTCAAGGTGAGGCACGGTGAACGGAGGGAGATGACAAAAGTGAAAGATGGAGGTTGGGGGCTGACTGATGGGTTGGACTCGGGTCCTGCTCCCAGAGGTGGCCCCTGAATGACCGGAAGCCCAGGCCCGGACGTGAGCGAGGCATCTCAGCCCGGCCATCCAAGCGCCCGGGGTGTCGCACCTAGAGGAGTAGGGAGCAGAGAGAGCGCGGCCCTCATCGCACCCAGGACACCAGGTGACCCCCCACGGCTCTGGCAGGAGCGGCTGCTGAGCAGGGCTGCTTCTGGCCGGAGCAGGCAGGGGCGGTCCTGGAGCTTCTCGGGCGGAGCGGAGCGGAGCGGAGCCCTGGCTCCCGGCCGGCGCTCGTGCTCCCCTCATGCTCCCCTCCTTGGGGCGGAGCCAGCGGCCAGTGCGTTCACCACCGCCAGGGCCAGGGCCACAGCAGGGACTCTGCCTGAGCCGGTGACATGTGCGGAGTTAAGACTCTGGGACAACGAGGGGAGAATAACGCGGTCCCAGCCGCAGACGAAGCAGGCGGCTGAGGAACTAAAGCCGCTTCATCATCAGCCTGTGTATGAAACAGTAACCGGACCCCAAATCTGAGCCTTATAAAGACAAAAGGGGAAACGAAAGCACGAGGACAGGCCGAGGGGCAGCGGCGCGTCGGCTCGCCCGCCCCGTGTCCGTCACGCCGATGTCAGCGGGTGCAAGTCCCCCGAGAGCGAGAGAGACCTACAGGCCGGCTCACAGGCCAAAACACAACTCTGTGCCGCAAAAGCAGAGAAAGGCCACTCCCGCAGGAAGACCCGGCGAAGGCACACCAGCCAGAGGCAGAAAAACGGCAGGGGAGAACGCAGGGCAGCAGTCACAGGTGCAAGGAGGACAGGCCATGGCCCCGGAGGCCGCGGTCCCGAGGTCCACAGGGAAGACACCGCAGCCGCGAGTGTCCACGGCACCAACTCACGCGGCGGCAGCTTGTGAAGCAGGCGCCACACGAGGCGCAGAGGGAGCCGGAGGAAGGCCGAGCTGATGGGCAGACGCTACCTCGGCGTCACGCAGACCTCGTGGGCTCTCTCCCCGCCAGCAGAAGCCCTGCCTTCCTCCCAAGTGCACGCAGGGGATCTGCAAACTCTGACCTTCCGTTCGCATACAGCAAACACTTCAAGAAATCCCAGAAACGGAAACGACAAGAATAACCCTGTCTGGCCTCAGTGCTCCAAATCTGTAGTGAGGAGAAAAGAAAACAGAAGGCCCTTCCCCGAGGAAATTTAAAAAGAACAACCCACTCTGTTTGGTTACAGAATTTCTAGATGATCACATCAAATAGGACATGTCAGAATCTAAGCGCTATATAGCTAAGGCAGGGCTCGTAGGAATATTTATGGCTTAAATACTTGTGGCGATATAAATTTTAAAACAAAATCATCAAATGAAACTATCCAACTTGAAAACTCAGAACAAGGATGGAGCGTGGGTGGCTCAGTTGCTTAAGCATCCAACTTCGGCTCAGGTCATGATCTCATGGTTGGTGGGTTCGAGCCCCGCGTCGGGCTCTGTGCTGACAGGTCGGAGCCTGGAGCCTGCTTCAGATTCTGTGCCTCCCTCTCTCTCTCTGCCCCTCTCTGCTCATGCTCTGTCTCTCTCTCTCTCTCTCTCTCTAGAAGTTAATAAACATTAAAAAAATTTTTTTTTAAAAAAGAAAGAAAACTTAGAACAAGGAAAGGATGAAGAAATTTAAACCGAAGACTTATAAAAGACTGGAAAACATTACAACAAAATTAAAAAGCAAATCTGGGGGAAAAAAAAAAGAGAGAGAGAAGCCACTAGGAAGCTTTATCAAGGAAGACAGAAGGCCCAAATAGACAAAATAAAAAATAACAAGGTAGAAGTAACCATCATAATGGGGAAAAAAAAGAAAAAGAAAAAGAAAGACCACTTTCTCCAACTTGGCAGACAACTTAAAAACCTGCTTAGGTTGGCTGGCTTTTTGAAGGGAAACAATTTACCCAAACAGCCTGTAACAAAAATGGAAACTCTGAATGGCCCAATTTCCACAGAAGAGAGAAAGTAGTCGAGATCTGGAAGGTCACACAGCCAAATTCCATCAACCTCAAGACCAGACGACATCTAGGCTCCTCAAACTGCCCTGCGGCATGGAAATGGGGCACGGGGTAATTACGAAACAGGCAGAACAGAGAGCGCCCCCAAAAAAGTCAGCCTCGGTTACGAACATCAGCATGCAAAGGTTATGCACAGTGTTAACGCAGTTCAACGGTGCTTTAAAAAGGAAACATGCCTCGATCAGGTGGAGCTTCCCGGAAGGCAGCCATGTTTCGAGATCCACCCATTAACAGATCTGAACTGAGACACCAAAGGGGCACCTGGATGAATTTGTTACCCATTTGTGCCGAAAACACAGGAAAGTAAGGGCTGGATCGAGTCCACGGCCCCACGTGGTGTCAGACTTGGGGGGAGGACGCCCAGCACCTCCAGCTGGGGCCAAGACCAGAGGTCGCTCTCCACCTCCACTTACGGGCCCTGGAGACAGCAGCCAAAGCAAGGAGACGCCGGAGCCATCAAATGCCCAACAACAGCAGAGAAGGGAAAACCGTATCTGGTTGTAAATGATACGAAGGAGTATCTGAAGATGCACAGGAATTAAAAGAAAAACTACCATAAACCAAAAATACAGGAGGGAACTAGGGCGTAAAACTACCATACAAACATCAGCCACCTGCTGGAAGACACAATGGAAGAGAAGACCCCACTCACCGACACACTGACTTAAAAATCATCCTCACAAGAGGGGCGCCTGGGTGGCTCAGTCGGTGAAGCATCTGACTTTAGCTCAGGTCATGATCTCATGGCTTGTGAGTTCAAGCCCCACGTTGGGCTCTGTGCTGACAGCTCAGAGCCCGGAGCCTGCTTTGGGTTCTGTGTCTCCCTCTCTCTCTGCCCCTCCCCTTCTTGCACTGTCTCTCTTAAAAATAAACAAACATAAAACAAAAATTTTTTTAAAGCATCTTTATGAGAAATGTGCCAACTGGTCGTGAGCCCTGGAGGCTCCTGAGGGCAGGGGATGTTCTGTGGCTTTTATCTAGTTCCAGACACATGGATGTTTCCCCCCGAGGAAGTTCATTGACTCATTCACATTCCATTTGTGTACTTTTCTGCATGTTGTATTTCAATAAATGCACTTTTTTACACCTAGGGAAAGGCTATGTGAAGTATATAAGGTAAACACTCAAACATCCCCAAAAGCACAAAGGTGAGACTGACACAAAGGTCAGTCTCATAAAAGGACACAGGACAAAGTCCTCATAAAGGACAAACCTCATAGAGGTGTTCTAACTGACTTTGGTATTTAGTACAAACAAACAGATTCCAAAATTCATTAAGGAAAACCAAACAAGCAAGAGTCACCAGGAAACAGACAAGAGATGGATATGGGGGGTTGGGGGGGGGAGGTGGGCCTGGCCTCATCAGATGTTAAAACATAGACTAAAGCCCTGAGTTAAAATGTGGCCTCGCTGCATGGACAGATAGACAACAGGACATTCAGAAAGAGACCTTATGCCATATGAAAATTTGATATTTGATAAACCACTGGGGGAAGGTAAGACTTTTTAGTAAATGATGTTAGAAAACTGGATAGCCATTTGGAAAAAGACAAAACTGGACCTATACCTCATCCCATTTACCAGACCTAGCTCTGAAAGGACCTAAAAGCCAAGGTTACAAAAAATGCCACTATACAGGTTCTAGAAGCAAATATGGGTGAATTCCTTTATATCTGGGAAAGGTGAGGCCTTTCAAAGTATGACTTACAGTCCAGATACCATAAAAAGGAAGGACTGAGAAATCTGACTACATTAAGTAACAGTCATAAAGCAAAGAAGCAATTTTGAAAAAGTCACACAGCGGCTTCATTTTCTTGGTTTTGGCTCAGGTCATGATCTCACGGTTCGTGGGACTGAGCCCCCCCCCGCCCCGTGGGCTCCGTGCTGACTGCACAGCCTGCTTGGGATTCTCTCTCCCTCTCTGTGCCCCCCTGTCTCTCACAAACTAAATAAAATTTTTTTCAAAAAAGAAAACAGGTCACACAGCAAAAACCACCAGAAACCAAGCCAAAAGAGAACATCAAACTAGGGAAAACCTCTTGCAACTCGTATCAAAGAAAAAGCTTTGCTTAATCTTGCCCATATAAAAAGGGCTCTCAGAAACGAAGAAAATGACCAAACCTGACAGAGAAATGAAGGGGACAGCTGCCGTAATTTCCAGAGAAAGAAATGCAAACGGCCCCCAGGCCTAAGGAAAGGAGTCTCGTCTCGCTCATGATGAGAAAACGGCAAATGGGCCGTAATCAGCACAGCAGGGGGGTGCACACCCCCCTTCCCGGCTCTCCGGCTGCCACTGCTGCAAACCCAGACTCAAGTGCTCAAAACCCTGACCACAAGCCAGGCATCTACGCCAGCACGAAGTGCTCTACGTTCCCGGAGCTCGTGCTGGAGTCCCGAAACCCACGCTGCTCAGGCCTTGAGGCAGTCTGTTCCCCTCAAGGGAAGCAGAGTTCTGACCCGGAGTGCCAGAGGGAGGGCAGGAGGGAGGGAGAGAGGCAGGGGTGGTGCCCTGACGCCGGAGACGGTGCTGTTCGGACAAGCTGCCCGTGCCGGCTCCGGCTTTCCCTCCTCGCTTGGCCCGCCCCTCGGCTCTCCGTCCGCGGGGATCCTGGCCCCGTGCCCCGCTTTGAGGCCGCTGCGTGCTGGGATGGGCACAGGGGGCAGGCGGGGCGTGGGAGGAAGTCGAGGGGCACCCCACTGAGAAGGGTGCTCACCGGGAAGGACTTGATGGACCACACGATCTCACTGTTCTCGGGGACCCACTTCACACTCCCCACTGTCGTCTTGAACTTGGGGGAGTCGGCGTCGTTGGGCACGGGGATGTGGATCTCCACGTTGTTGGCCGTTGACCGCCGCTTGAACTGGCTCTTGGCCTGGAGACGAGGCCGATGCAGCCAAGGTTGCAGAAGGCACAGGTGAGAAGGCCCGGCCCCGACCCGGCCTGCCCCGGCAAGGGCCCCACCCCCCTGGCCTGGCCCGGCCCGGGGGGCCCCCCATCAAGCTGACCCCGGTTCTCCAGGCTCAGCTCGTACCCTCCTGCCACCTGAGACCCTCCCTATAGCCTCCAGTCCCCTTGGCCTTCAGGGCTCCCCATTCTCCCCTCTGGGTCAGTGAGGCAGCACGGACCTCAGCCACAGGCCTGATCTCCCCGGACAGGGGTCATAGAGCCCCACGGTGTCCCTGCCCTGGTTAGGCCTGGTTAGGCCTGGATAGCCAGCCCTGAGCCGGTGAGGCTATCCACAGCCCCCTCTCTCACTGCCCTCGTCCCCAAGTTGGCGTTGTGTGCCGGGTGTGCGCGCACCTTGATCATGTACTCAATGCGGCTGTGGGAATGCTTTTCGATCACGGACTCGATCCATATCAAGGGCTTGACCTGTTAGGGAAAGCGAACGCGGCACTCACACCTTTCCCCCAGAGGGGACACTGAGGCCCGAGGCAAGGGACCATCTGCCAGGCGTGAGCCCAGCAAGCCACCGCCCGAGTCCCAGCCAGGCCAGATGGACACGCAGACAGAGGGGCCTCTGAAAATGCAGAACATGTCACCGGGGCTGCCTGCAGTGGGGGGCAGTAGGGCCAAAGGGCTCCGGTCACTCAAACGGTTCAGAGCCCCGAGCTGTCAAACACCGGCTCCGCAGAGCCAGGCAGCCCGTAGGGGGCTGTTCGTGCCCTGGGTGTCAGCTCGGGGACAGGGACGGTTCCCACCCAGCAGGGAGGGGGCGGGAGCCTGTCTGGAGCCTCCCGCGAGCCGCCCTGGAGGAAAGCCTGCCCCGGTGGAGGGCGGGCGCACGCACGTGGGTGTTGAGGCGGTAGGACATGAGCTCGAACTCGCCATCTGGGGGGATGAAGGAGATGGTGCGGTCGTTCTCGAAGCGTGAGAGTCGCACACACTGGTGGAACTTCACATCCTCCAGCTCCACGGACTTGCTCTTGCCACCTGCGGGGAGGCGGGGTGAGGGCGGGACAGACCCTAGCCCCTCCGGGTCACTCCCTCGGCAACACTGTCAATCCCGGGGGCTCACCCCTGGCAGAGCAGAGCTGCCCCTCAAATCCGCGAGAGCGTCTGGGTCACGAATGCCAAGGGGCCCGGGTTCCTGGACGACCTCCCCCGTCCCTCCGCAGCCCCTTGGAAGCCCCGTCACATCCTGACCCCGGGCTCGGGCTGAGGGCAGGGCTGGCTGGCCTGGGTCACTCTGGCCCCCAGCAGCCAGTCCATGGCTTAGCTGGCGCTCCTGCCCAGGGCGAGTCTGCTGAATGTATAACAGACCCGGCTGGAGACGCGGGGCGACGGCTCAGGGCTCCCGGTGTGCCCCGGCCGCATCGTCATCCCTTGTGTTCTGGGTTCCTGTCTTGGTTTTCCATCCCGCAGAGGAGCTGTGCAGGTGGGGCCCAGCCAGGGACAGGAGCTGCCCTGATGGGCTGACACCCGAGGGGGCCTCACTGCTGCTGTGACGGTGTGGCCACCCCTGCCACCGCTCCCATGGCCAGGGGGCCTGTGGTGGGCCAGGAGCCAGGTGTCCCATTTGTCAACACAGAGACTCGGCATGCTGGGTCCCTGAGATCACTCTGGCCCCCGCCCCACCACAGGGGGTGCTACATGCAGGCCGCGTGGCAAGAGCCAGAGCCACTGTGTGTAGCCTTCAAACAGCCCAGACCCAGCACTCCAGGTGGGGGCAGGAGCTGGCACAGGACAGGAGAGAACAAGGCAAGGCCTGACCTTGAGCCCGCAGCTCCCTTCAAGATGGTGTAGGGCAGGGTCGTGGACCTGCGTGACCCTTCCCACACTTGACATCTGAGGTGCTCGCCCGTGCACTCTGGCCCATAGGGTGACGAGGGGACTTGACTTTGGGATCTCTGCTCTTCTATGTTTTCTACGTCCAGTTATGGATTTACTAGTTTTCACAGTTGTCTTGTAAACAACCTGAACATGTTTCTAAAGCAAGTACTTGGGGTACACGCGTTGGCCCACGCAGCTGGGAATTCCCTCAGCTCAGCTGTGAGCTCAGCGCAGGCCCGCTCTGGCCACAGGGATGCAGTGGGAGTGGCGGGGGGTACTCACGGCCCGTGTTGTCGAAGAGAACCTTGTCGTTGAGGCCCAGGCGCAGCTCGGGCATGCCTGAGAGGAAGACCCGCATCTTGATGGAGCCCACAATCTCACTGCGCAGCACGTTGCCATTGGCACTGACCTGGGAGGCGGCGAGGCGGGCGTGAAGGGAGGCCCCCACTCACCAGCCTCATACCCTCCCGCCACCCAATTCTCGATGCCCTTCTCCCCATCCCGGCCTCCCTCCAGCCTCTGTGCCAGGGTCACAGAGGCCGACCCGTGGGCTCTGCCCTCTAGGCCTCAGGCCATAGCTGAGCGAGGACCCTACCAGTGCCTGCTCAACCACTAGGCTGGCCTTCCTCCAGGCAGGCCACACTTGCTTTTCTAGAGATCTCTGTTTCTCCAAGTGGGGCCTCAGGAGGCCACCTGCCCCATATCCGCTACTTCCTAAAGATGGAGCTTCCCCGGTCCTGACACCTCGCTGCTCCCCAGGGCTGCCCTGAGGTCTGATGACCATGGATCCACAGCACCAGATAAAGTCAGAGGAGTAACGGCTGAGCCCTTCCCTGTGCACTCCACCAGTCTGCATGGTGGAGTTATGCTTCGGGCAACCCTGTAGCTCACGAGCAGACCAGGAAGCATCTGAGATAGTGATTAGAAAGTCACAACAGGCCAGCAGGCAAACCCTGAGGCTGTCCTGAGGGAGCCAGGCTGCTGGAACACCTCTTCTCAGGCCCATTTTAGATACAGAACAGAGGCCACACAATGGCTGGCGGAGGCGCTGGGGCCACACCTATGACGACCACCCCACATCACCACGTCCACACCCCCAGGCAAGAACAAGGGCTGCAGAGGCACAGGCCTTGGGGCCACGAGGGCCACTCCTCAGAGGTGCCAGCCACACCCACGTGCTGGAAGGCCCGAGTTGCCTATTTCTACAGAGGAGGAGGAAAATCTGTCCAGCCTTTAACTCAAGCATCTGGAAAGCACCACAGGCAAACATGAGAGCCCTTCGCCTCTGAAGGAGGTGGAAAACCGAGGCACCAAGGAAACGACAACCCGGGAAAGGCACAAAACAGGACAGAAGGCCCTGCAACGTCTGGTTCTGTCACCTCACTGCTCACTATACTCTGGTCACACTGGCCTCTCACTGTCCCCACTGCACACAGCGGCCACTTCTTCCTCCTCCGCCTCTCATCAGCTCTGCCTGTCCACCTCTGTCCCCACTCTGGTGAGGGGGTGCGTCAGGCCACTCACTGCTGGGTCCAGCACGAAGACAGTGCCTGGGGGCAGAAGGTCCTCAGCAGGTACGTGCAAACGTAGGCCCTCGCTGGTGGGATGGGCTCTGGGCACCCCCCATGCTCCCAACTGTGACTGCCCCTAGATGTGGAGGGCCGTCCCCCCGCGTGGGGAGTAGGGACTACACAGCCCTCTGGAACTGAACAGGTGAGGTCACCAATGCTGGGAAGGCGGGCTCAGGAAGGGGAGAAGAACTGTGCAGGCCCAAGGCTCATCTCAGCCCTGCAGGCGGCAACCAGGATGGGTGGGTGCAGAAGGGATGTCTGCTGAGCTGCTCAAGTACACCGTTACACCCAGGTCACCGGAAACTGGACGCCGGTGTGGACTCAGCAGCCGGCTCTGCAATCAGACTCAGGAAGACAGTGTTCTAGCGCATCTGGGACACCTGCACCTGCCTCGTGCTGCCCCGTGTACGGAAGAACAGGGTCCTTCAGGCACAGCCACATGCTGGGTGCACTGTGGTCAGGACACCCATCGAACTGCCAGTGTTTTCATATAACCTATTTATAGGCTGTTCCCCCGGATCTGCTTTCATAGGCCAGCACACTCTAGTGCCAGATGGACCATGTTCTGGGCTCAATAAACAATTCAGACAAAGGCAGGAGGAACATGTGGTTACTGAGGCCACTGTCTTGCTCCAAGACTTAAAAAGTAAAAAGGCAAATATGTTTATGCGCAGTCCACTGGGAGAATCTTTTTGGGGAAGCACCGTCAACAATCCCACACCAGAGGACCCACCGCTCCAGGAACCCCGCCCAGGTAAGGATGCTGCCCCAAACACACATCTGAGGACGGACAAGCTGGCTCATTTCTGCACTGCCTGCGGCAGCTGGAAAGGGCACACCCTAGTGAGCCGCGTGATGGGACTGGTCTGATCAGTCATGATAATCTCCAAAGTGAACACAAGCAGGCTGCGGGTAACATGGGGTCGGCTTGTATGCCCTTCCCTGCCACTGGCTACAAGGACGACACACGGGCAGGGTTCATGGGCAATCATCAAAGACTGAAAGGCACAGTGGGTGGATCTGGGAAGAGCCACTGAAAGCGCGGCACCCGTGGGAAAGTGCAGAGGAAACCCGGAAGTGGAAGTGAGCCCCGGGGACGCTGACTGAGCTGGCGGAAGCCTGTAGCTCTGGCTTCGGGGCCAGAAGGGGAACTCCTGCTGCTTAGAGGGCATATGGAAATCCCCCGACTCCCCCCTTGTCTGTTCTCTCACCTCCAGGCCCCAGGCAACCTAGCTGTTGTTCCCAGAGGGTGGGGCAAACCCAGGATTCAGGCCCACTGCAGGCAGGCAGGCAGGCCAGAGTGGAGATCTAGAGCCCCCAGTTGGTCACAGAACCCAAAAGGGAAGTCCTAAACAGCTGACAAATACCAGAAAGAGAGTAGAGAGTGAGGAGTCCAGGAAAGCAAACCCATGAAGTTATTTGTGTCTCCAGAGCACTCTAGAACTGGGCATGAGTAGCTAGGATCCTAATTAGCATGCCAAAGACTCTGAGAAACAAACCACCCAGTCCCAGACAGACCACCAGGCAGTGCATACTCCGGACAAACTCAAATAGCAAATGGCAGGAAGGCTTTGAAAACTGAACTGATACTTACGGCCCACAAATTGGGGGCTGCAACTTGTGGCCTGAACCTAACCAGGCCAACTGTCAGCTCGAACACAAATACGGACATTTTCTGTATAATCTAAATAAGACCTAGAATCTTATAATGTAACATTCAAAAAGGTCCAAGATACAATCTAAAAATACTCAGCATACAAAGAGCCAAGAAAATTTAACTCACACGGAAAATACAATCAACAGATGCCAATGCTGATGCAAATGTTGGAATTATCTGACAAAAGACTTTAAACAGTTATGTAAAAAATACAAACACCCCTGCAACAAATGTTAAAACAGAAAGTCTCAGTAAAGAAGCAGACTATAGGAAGAAGAATCAAATGGAAATTTTAGAACTAAAAGATGCAGTCACTGAAATACAAAACTTGCTGGATGGGCTCAACAAAAGGATGGAGATAAAACAGGAAAGGGTCAGTGAACCTGAAGACAGATCAGAAGGAAGCATCCAATCTAAACAACAAAGAGAAAAAAAAAAAGATGGGATAAAAGAAACAGCACCTCAGGGGCCCTGGGGACACTGACTAAAGGTCTGATATTCATGTCACTGGGCAAACATATTTGAGAACATAATGGCTGCAAACATCCCAATTTTGGTAGGAGACATAACCAAACAGATACAAGAAGATGAACAAATCCCAAACAGTAGAAACCTAAAGATATCCATACCCAGACACAGCAAATCTATCTGCTGAAAACTAAAGACAAAGAAAAAATCTGGAAAGCATCCAGAGAAAAGCAATGTGTTACCTGCAGGGAAATATGGATTCGAGTGACCGTGGATTTCTCACCAGGAAGCATGGAACCTGGAGGGAATGTCACAACATTTTCAAGGAGCCAAAGGACAACTGTCAACCCAGAACCTGTATCCAGTTGAAATATCCTTCAGAATGAAGCAGAAACGAAGACATTCTCAGATGGAGGAAAAGCAAAGTAGACCTGTTCTGAAAGAACAGCTAAGAGTAGCTTTTTAGGCAGAAGGGAAATGATACCGGAAGGAAACCTGGGAAAAGTCAGGAAATCGAGGGAGAGCCACAGAAGTGCCAAATGTCTGAGTTAAGTGGGTTATTGTCTTGACTGCTTTAAAGCATGTTTGAGAACTGAGAGCAACAAATCTTACCACTGTCGGAGGTGGTTTCCAATGCATCTAGATTAATGTATATCTACATTACATTAGCTAGAGCTAAAACAGCTCTAGCATTGAGGGGTAGGAAACTTTCTGGATTCCAAGTGAAGTGGTGAAATATTGATTCTAAGCAGGTAAGTATGCACTTTATAGCAACCACTAGATACAACTATATAAAGAGATATGGTAACAACCACCATAAAGAAATGAAATGGAATATTAAAAACATTCAAACAGACCATGGAAGGATAGGAAAAAAAAAACACAAAAACAAAGGAATGAAAAACAGAGGCAACAAAAAGAAAACAATAAAATGGCAGACATTTTAATCTAACAAATTACAGTAAGTATAAATGCTCTAAACATATCAATTAAAAGACAAAGACTGCCAGAATGGATGTTAAAAAATGACCCAGTTTGAGCACTGGATGATGTATGGACGTACTGAATCACTACACTGTATACTTGAAACTGACATTACCGTGTATATTAACCAGAATTTAAATAACTTTAAAAAAATAAAATAAAAGGATGGGGTACCTAGCTGGCTCAGTCAGTGGAGTGTGTGACTCTTGATCTTGGAGTTATGAGTTCAAGCCCCATGTTGGATGGAGAGATTACTTACAAATAAAATCTTTAAAAAAATAAAATAAAAGGATTAAAAAAAGAAGTAAAAGGATAGAAAAACACACAGTGTGTAAACACTGATGGAGTAATCTCTGAAGTGACAATATTAATAGCAAAATAGACTTCAGAGCAAAAAATTTACCAGGGATAAAGAGGGACCTTATATAATGATAAAAGAAAGGGTCATTTCACCAAGGAAACATATGAATCCTAAATGTGCCTGTGCCTAACAGCATAGCTTCAAAATATGCTATGACATAATCTGCAATTAACAGCTGGGGCTTTTAACGCTATCAATAATAGGTAGAACTAGTAGACAGAAAATGAGTAAGAAAAGCTAGAAGAAATAAATGTCACCAACCAACAGGATTTAATTGGCAATTACAGAACAGTCCACCCAACAAAAGCAAAATATGTATTTTTTTCAAGTGTACCTGGAACGTTTGGCAAGATAGATCACATTCTGGG